TATTTTTTTGTACAAGTTTAAACTTTAACAAGTCTATTTAAGGTTATATAGAGTAAACAATAATTTCATAATCAATTTGTTCTCAAATCATAAATCTTGAGAGCCTTTCTAGAGTATGATGTATCTTTTTAGAGCCTTTCTAGAGTACGGTGGTTGGTATCATTGGAAAATCACCTTACGCTAATTATGCCAAGAGGAAAAGCTTGAAAATTGTAAATTTCTCTCAAAGTCAAACGTGTTATAAAAGTTGAACTATTTTCATTATTTTCTCTTTTGTTCGAACCGATAAAAATGTAAGACGCAGCGCCTGGATCTGTCATTCCGTTTCTCTCCCGCATTTAAGTCCGGCCACGTAGAGCCGTAGAGCACCGGATCACACAAATCCTGGACCCCATTAACGGACTAGAGCACTTTTAGTTACCTCCAAAATCTCAAGTATGCATTGTTAGGCGGGAAAATTGGCGGGTAAATAAATGAAGTGTCATTTCAAAGTATGAATTGAGAGGAAGATTACTCTGTGAAAAATATGTAACTGGATTACTATTTTGTTACAATGGTAATTAAAGAGATGCTTTACGTAAAAATAAACAGCCTTTAACATTATTTAAACAAATATTGTTGAACCAATGATGAATATTACATTTTAAAATTATTAAGGCTTTGTTAGTGAACCTGTGTACGTTAAGTGAGGGACTAGGTATTACCGTAGTATTCATGCATTGGTTTTATCTATATAGTCAATGGACCTAGGTACATCAGAATCTTTAGTCGATTCCTATGAATTTTCATTTAAGAAACCCGTTTCGTGAACCAGATATATATGAATATATATATTTTAAATTAGATAAACAGCTTTCCATTAGCGACATTCAGAAACTCAAAATGCTTTTGTTTGATGTTATATGCACCATCATAATTCAATCCCTTGCTAATTACAAGGTATCCATATATTTATGAAATATGATTCTACATAGAAAAAATTGAGTTTTGTGTGAAAAACATATTATCTACTTTTAGAAATAATTACTTTTAATATGTGAATACTTTTTTGTAAGTAATTACTTTTATAAATATAGAAAGCTGTGTGTTCGGTGAACTCAGTCAACACAATTACAGACATTTGTCAGGAAACAGTGAAAAATGATGTAAAACATTAGCAGAACTGAAAATATGTTATAAAGTGCTATAAAGTTTCAGTTCTTTCTTTTAGCAAATTTCCCTATAGGGAAGTAGGTATTACCGTAGGTAGCAATGTAAGACCTGGAGCCGGGACCGATATAATTTTCATTTTGATGTCCCTAGAGACCAAAAACGCTATTCGTTCAAATTTGTATATTTGTAATTAATCTTTTTAAGTTAACACGTTAGCTTGAGTAGTTTTTGTCCCATTTTGATGAAATTTGGTTTGAATGTGTCAGGCGAGATAAACTTGATTGGGTTCGCAAACCAGAGCTTGATCGGACCATTGGAACAGGGTTTACAGGGGGTTTTATGGGAGTAAAAATTAGGCTTTAAATCACAAAATTTACCAGTTTACCTCTAGAACATTTTAAAGCAGTTAAAAAGGTTTAGAATTGCAAAGTGTTTTTTAACGTTTTTTGGTTACGGAGAAAATTCAAAAATTGGAAATTTAAAAAACCCATGTTATTATTATGGAAAATGTTGTAGTTTGCTTGTTTATGGAAATAATATCATTAAACTTGGGAATTTGTTTTTATACTAAGCTGCTAATAGTTAACTAAAAAAACACTTAAGCAGCCTCCCTGTAGCAGCAAACCTATTAACCTATTTTAATTGAAATCGTTAAACCAAATGTTATTAAAATAGATTTTTTTGAAAATCAATTGATGCATAAGGATATTTGCTTAGTCTACAAGTTTGCTGCGGCGGGTGACTTACTACTAATTGAATTAATAATTAAATTACACTGTTTCTGATATTTCAACTACTGTGCTCAGTGTTAGGTGTTTAACTACTCAAGAATTGGTTTGACAAACGTTCTGGAGTAAATGGATACAACCATTACACGAAAATAATATTATCATTGAACAAACATCACCGTTACTTTAGAAAAAATTAAATTGTTATTCTTCTGATACAGTCAAGTAAAAATAACACATAGCCGTGGAACTAGATAGCCAAATTACCCTGCACGATTATTTTGGTTGAAAATAATAATGAACCTAAAACAGCAGGAAACAACAAGAATTGATCATAGTTTGAATTCTCTAAACTTCTAATATTTGAGTAATTAGTTCGTCTTCTAGCGTACAGTCTGAAGCAAGTCAATTAATGACATCAGCAGCTCACATCAGCACATTATCCCTGCTGAAGCAATCACCGAGCCAACTCAAGTGTGCGCTGAGCGCTGATATTTCACGTGACATGCTAATTATCTGAATTGTTCATTCCTAATAGAATAATGTCCCAAAATATTGAAATTTTTTTAAAAGCTTATTTTTTGTTTGACTGGGACGGGTGGCGTCGTCCTGTAATCCAGCTACTAGGAGGTCACGAATTGTGGATATTTATAGGGATGCACTGTGGATGCGATGCTCACTGGTGTGGATTAACGTCCGCACTAGTGAGTACTACGACTATCCGCAGTACTATCCTGATAATTAGACCAATTCGTAAATTACAAGGAAAAATGTGGTTCGGATTCCACTATAAACTGTAGGTCCCTTAGTTGCCATTAGCTGTATGGGCTATTAATTAACAGCTGTGTCTAAGGAACATGTCGGCCTTAGTCACTAACAAGACTACAAGATCGCGCCACTCATCCTACACTCATCCTTCACTCATATTTGGGTTAAAATACGCACATAGTGGCGTCCCCATCTTAAATAATTGATAATTGATAATTGATTGTTTAAACTTAAAAAATTTAAAAAATGAAAAAGGCCAATACAATAAGAATTAAAATTACAAGATTCAAGATTTAAGGTTTCTGGAGGGGTTTCCTCCCTTTAATACACGAAACTCTTTTGTTATACTACAGATTCTTTATTCTGTGGTTATATCAATCTCACCAGGATAGGTTAAATTTAGATATGTAAACAAAATTTTAATTGAAATTAATTATTAAAAATTACCAAACCTAACCTGGTCTGTTTGGTATAACAGAAAAGTACTAATAAAACTTGGTAGTAGTTTTAAGTCGTGTTTTTACCATATAAAATCCATCAAATATGTGCTTTCTTTTTGTAAAAAGCATTAGTTATTTCCATAAGAAGCAAAAATATAGGTTTCAATATTTTTACTTTCATAACTTAATTTCATAAACCATAACAACCCTAATACGCCACTTAAAATATATTACTTTTTGTTCGCGTAACCTATGATTAAGATATTTTAAACATATTTTACTAACTTGGAGGTAACTTTAAGTTTCCAGTCTACTAAGTGTTAAGTATACTACTAAAAATTGATTCACCTTCCTGTACATGGAGATAAACAGAAGAATAAAAATGACTCGCCCTCAATATAACTTGGGAAACAGAACACCTAGGATTAATCATAAAGTTTAAATTTCTTTAACAACTTGCTAAAGACGTAATATATTAGACAGTAGTTTGTAAACACCGATTAATTGTAGAAACATTTTCCTCTCTTTACTTCAGTTCAAAACATAACTGTAGTTTTAGAAATGACCACTAATAGTTTTCATGCTTAGAGGAAAGGTTATCGACATGCAGATTAAACCAGAAACGAAAACAGTTTGTTCTAAAGAAGTTACTGACTTATCACAAAACCCCCCGAGCCAAAGTTCATAAAGAAAGTTGTTTGTAATTTTTCTTGATTATGTCATGTAATCAGGGTTTTTACTGCAGTGATAACATTCATTCAAGTGGTTTAAGCCAGTATATTTCCATGTCTGTGAAGGATTGAACCAGCAGGCCTTACCAGATCGTTTTGAGATATGAACCGTAAGTATTGTATTTAAACTACTATCAGATCACAGGGTTTTAAAGATGTTAATCAGATAAGCAGACCTTGGCCTTTTATTTCCATAAGTAATTAGCAATCTGGTGATATCATAAAATTGTTTTGTCAACAACTGTGTTTAGAAATGTTTTTGCATATATACTTTGCTAATTGGGTATTGTATACGATTTTTTAATGATAAAAAATTCTTTAAGTTTACCCCTCAACTTTATTTTGTTTCTGAACAACAGCTATTTGCCTGTTAACTTAAATGACACATTGGCAACAAATATTTTCGATTTATTTAAGTAGTTTATTATGGAACAAAAAAAGTATTTGGGTAATACGCCACATTCAGATTTCTTGGAATTTCCTTTGTTTTCTTTCTTAATAGTATTATTTTGAAGAAGAAAAAAAACATTCCTAGATAGTATAAAGACAATATTTTTATTTTGTTTTAACTAGGTCTAAAGTTGTTGACATAATATGAAGAAATATGTTTTATGTAATTGACGCTGGTAATACCCTTAAACTTTCAATTTGTGAAAATACAATGTAATAGGGAGACAATACTTTAGACAAATGATAAGTCTGCTAGAAAATATTTAATTAACAGTTTACTAAATAATTAAACTTCTGCAGCTGACCAACAATTCACTGATCAGTTCATTTTCAATCTAGATTGTAATTGTGAATGCCTAAGATGGAAAAAAATCTTCACTCCAAGGTAATAATTTAGTTTCAAGCTTTATGGGAGAAATCAGGCTCTTATTATACCAACAATAAATTTAAAACATTGAAATTATTTCGTTTCTTAACAACCTTTTACCATTTTAATCAAAAAAATATTTACCAAGGAAGTTTTTAATCCGTTCACAGTCAATAAATGAAGCAAACCTATTCCTAAATCGCAGAATACCCAGTAACTGATGTTTGTAAATAAAATATTCGTTTGCTGAAAGTTTGAACTAATATTAAATGATGGTTGCATGTTGGATGGACATTTTAAGATGACACAAGATTACGCCTCCCAAGTCAACAACTAGCCTCCTCATGGAGATAACGACTATATATAGTCGGACTTAGGACCGCACAGTTTTTAGTCGTCGTCGGTCGTGTTCCGAGTCGTCTATCTCCTTCTCTCTGTCCACGTCTTCACTTAAAATCAATTGTGAGTATTTTACAAGCTACTCTGAGCCAAAATACACGAACCTTACATTTGTTAACTTTTTTATCGGATGAAATAAGGTACCTTATGTGAAAAAATAATTAGTATTTGATTTGAACATAAGAATATGGCGTAAAATTAAATATGTTTTTCCTTTGTACAAAAATCGGTGATATTTTCAACACAAATTTGTTCACTCGAATTTTAAAGGATTTTAGCAGTTCATAGCGTAAACATTATTTAACTTTCTATTGTGGTTACAATTATCTAATTATCTTGTTTTGTACTCATTTACTGTTTTTAAGTAAATAAAAATGTATTTACCAACCAAAGGAGTTCTTGCCTTTCGTAGTAAGTATTGTTTGTTTTTTAAAAGACTCACTCAATTTTGCAGTAAAATAAAAATTGTAGTTAGTATGTTGTCAGAATATTTGGGGTAGTCATAACTTTAAGCACATAACTATTCGTTTGTCGATATTTAAAAAGAATTCCCTATGAAAATAGAAAATTAATAATCTTTTGATTCATGTAAGTTGGTATAAAATTTACACAATTTTATGCTGGGGCTTAAAGATAATAATTAACTATCAAATATATTTATTTTACTTAACAACCTATTTACGATATTGAATTTCTAACACTTTACAAAACCTTTCTCTCTTTGTTCGTCAACGTATGTGGAGTCGTGCAACTAAAACAAACTGCTTAAAATTGCATTTATACATTTAACTTGTCACATTTATAAACAGTACATAGCAACAATTAACATGTAATAATAATTTTAGGCCTAAATAGTCAAGAAATAGAAACATTTCGTAAATTTTATCTTTTAAAAAGAAAAGTCTACGTATTTTAGTTCGTGATTAACTATGTTTTAATTTAGATGGAAAAAACTTGAATATGAAACTTTATTATATTTGATTTTATCATACAAACATAGTTACATCAGAGTAATTGATTGCACTAAGGTAATCAGCATAAACACCGCATAGAGCCACTCTAAGTGTCATGGACGTATTGATGTTGTCAGTAGGGTAGTGAAGGGGGTCATGGGGGGGGGGGGGTTATAGGAGCAGTGTCAAAACATAGGTGCCATTGATTGATAAGGTGTTTATAGAGTAAACAGTTTAACGCAGGATCTTCAAACAAGGCTATAGACTCGGATTTTGCATCAATCTGTACATCATACGGTTCGAATCACCATTTAGAAGAGATTTCATTCTTTTTATATGAAACTAGGATTAATTATCTTAGTTACTGATCATGAAGAGTGTTTTAAAATACTTTATTTATATTTGAAGCTTTCTGATATTACATAACATTTGTTGCTGATGTATAAATGTTTGATTGCATCTTTAAACAAATTTTTAGTACTAACTTCTTATTTATGTAATAGGCAACAAGAGCTTATAATTTCTATTGATTTCGTGTAGATAGATAACTTGTCAATTTTGGTGTAAATTGAAAGTAATTCCAGAGAACGGTTTAGCTAAGTGATTCCTAGTTATACACGTTACACATAATTCCTAGTTATCTTCAAGGAAATGTCTGTACCTCATCCGTCCAAATAAATGACTTACGACTTACAAATACGATTATTATTAAATTAAGCTCGTTCTTGTGAAGTGGATTAACACAAATAACAAGACTTTAGAAACTATGTTTATGAAATATTAATAGTGCCCTGTTATATTTGGGTGTAGAAAATTTTCTCCTTGAATATTTAGTGTGTGATTATTTTCTACGTATGAAGGGTTGGATTTATTCAATAGGTAAAAAAGTACGATTTCATATTGTTAATGACCATATATGTTAGATTTCAAAACTGTTCGATACATTAGGCAATATAATTTAGTATGATACGAGTAAATATACGTAACCTCGATCCTCTCCTATATGAAACAGGCACGAAAGCATAAAGTAAAAAGATAAAGGTTAGATTTCGTGAACGTTGATTTAAAGCAAATAGGAAAATTCCATATCAAAGTAAATTTGCAAAAGTGATAGCTGTCATACATTACGTAAATGCTTTCGAGATAATTGTTTAACTATATTTAGTGTTATCACGCTCAAAGATATGCAGAAGGCTATCGCCCCGGGATTGGACTTAGGGTCAGTGGTACATTTCACAAGAACGTGATTGAATTTGCTTTTTTCTTTTCATGATTTTAATTAAGCTTATGGAAAAAAAGCTAAATGGAAAAAAACACTGTAAATGAGGAGAAGAATTTAGAGCGAAAAAGAAAGAACGGCACAATATGATAGTGCATAATCCTATCACTTAGATAAGTTAAGTGATAGTACGTCTATTAACACAAAAACATATATTTTCACTTATACTGTTAACTCTCAAGACGGTAAATATTACCTATAAAAAAGATGAAAAGTGATGATAAATTTCGATTGGACACTACAATCGTCATCAGACCCAACAGACGTTATCGATCCCCACTTGCCACATTTTATTTACCTTGTTTGTAGTACAAGTGTAGAATATACGTTTGTGACGAAATACTCCAGTTTGCCCGTTGATACTGCATACAGATTATATAGCCTTGGGGTGAAATTGTGTTAGCTAGGATTACTAACTTTTTACTTTTATAATAATTAATGTACGGTATTCAGAAAGAGGAATTATAAATAATTATGTTTACGTTCAATAGCGTTTATAGCAAAAATGCAAAAAACTCTTAACCATGCAAAAACGTATAGTTGGATCGTCGGTAATCCTTTACTTTTCCTTAAAAACTAAGTTAATGCAGTGAAGTGGGGGGATTAATAATAGTAGCGCATGTTTTTATATTTTTTATGTTAAGCAGATACTGGCTTACTTTGTATTTTAATCATACGATATTTAGGCCTACTCAACCAACTCATTCCTTTGAGATCAAGATATAGCCTCCTAACCCAACGTTTAAAACAGCGACCAAATCAATAGTACTTACAAGCAATAAATAAAACTAGTGCACCTGTTGCTCGAATTCGAGCAATTGCAAATATTAAAGGAGTTTTTTTTTTTACGAATAACAGTCACAATTTCCGTTGACTTAAAAGAGTCAACTCAAAGATAATGTAATCATCACTTCACTCCAGTTATCGAAACTGGAAACGAACTCACTCTGAAAACGAACACTCTTGTGTGTATCATGTGTTAACTACGAACAGCTGTAATTAATACAAATTATTCGTCTGTTTAAGTATACAAAATCTTTTCTTTATAAGAATTACATTGGGATTTTGATGGCCTGTGGGGCAAAGCCCGAATTTGTGACAAAAATTTGTAAAAGGGGGCGTCTACAAAAAAAATACTAAATTTTGACACCTCGTTTGTAAAAATCCGTCAATTATTAACGGAGGAGTAGTGTTCCGTAGAAATCGCATTCACGTATTATATATAAGGATTATTAATTGTATATTTGTTTATATATATTTGTATATTTTTATATTTGATGTAGATATTATGCCGGAAGCGACTCACGTCTCCAGACTGGCTCACACCTGTCCCAACCAACACAGATGCCTGCAGAAGGTCTGCATGGAGCAAACACAGAACCAGGACACTTTTCTGTTCACATCAGAGTCTGTCGGGGAAGGCCACCCTGGTAAGATCACACACTGTTTAAGTATAATTTTGTATTGAATTAACATACATTTTTTATAATAATTCTTGTATGCTAGCAATGAAAGAGGCATGGCATGTAGCTTTTAATTAATAGAGTCCTAAAATACAGAGATGGTCCTCAATTAGAATTCATTGTGTAGCCCCTGAACTGTTTAGATTATTATTTAAGTTGCATACCTCTACGTCCATAGTTCAAGATAGTGTGGTAAAACTCACAACGTTTCACCATACTCTAATGAACTGTGGACGAAAACCATTGTACCTTAAATAATAGTCTAAGGTTCTCATTGTTGTAAAGGGGGACACACCGCTGCTTCATGCTACTATTGCAGCGAGTGTAGCCTACCTAGGGTTCTCTATAAACATGGCCACCTTAATTTAAAATATCACCAATTTAAATTTAATAAAATAAATCCATCCGTACTATCAAATGTGCAACTGTTTTCATGCTACACAAAAACATTAGGTGATATTTGTGGGTACATAAAAAGTTGTTTATCTTCGGAATATAACGCACAATAAATGGTGTGCTTATGTATATTCTTAGTTTACCAGTTATTTGGTTAAGATCAAGATTGATATCAGAAGAAATGACTTAGTTTGAAATTTGCTGGCAGAAAAGAGCTGACTACTTGTGCCAACGTTTGGCTTAATTTAATTTTCCTGCTCTTACAGATGAACATGTTTACGTTATTAAATTTACTTAAAAATTTACAAAAGGGTGACTACTGTACATATCACCCATATTATCTGAAAGGATGAATATGAAAATACATGACATCGTAGGATGATGCCACCCCTATTCATGACGTCACCATTGTTTAAACGCAGAACACGTCATTGTTTGATATGCTGATTATTAATCGAGTGTATTGTTGTTCCCAGACAAGATGTGCGATCAGATAAGTGACGCCATATTGGACGCTCATTTGAAGCAGGACCCGGACGCTAGAGTGGCTTGTGGTAAGTGTGATGTTTACTGATCGTTGTAATCATTTTAATACGCTCGTAAGAAAACTGCAAGGACTTAAGAGACTAACAAAACAAATAAAAATCACATATTACCAAAAATTTATTAGTCATAAATTTAAAAGACGAAAAATAATGTCACGTGGAGTCATGCTGCTCTTAAACTTAGGGAAAATCTTTATTATAAATATTAGTTAAAAAACGTTATTACTTGTTTATTAAAAAATTAAAAATAAACTAGCAATACAGAGCCACATAATGTGTAACTTTGTTTCCAATGTTTCTTAACAGTCTCGAATATTGAGTCTGCTCTCCAAAATCTGAAAGTATGTACCGTTTTGTGTCTACTATATAGTTGATTTTTTCAAAGTTACCAGTCTGAAATAGTATTTCTAACTGAATACGAGCGTCTAAATATACACATCAGACAATCAATTACTAACTAATTACTTTGCAACAGTTGATGAGGCATTCGTGAGTCCATAATGTCATTTAAATACTAAAATTTAAAAGAGGCTATAAAATAATACTCAAATATCTATGACACTCAGTTCTATGTTGTAATATTTTTTGCAGAAACGGTAACCAAGACGGGGATGGTGTTGTTGTGTGGTGAGATCACATCTAAGGCGGTTGTTGACTACCAACAAATAGTCAGAGACACAGTCAAACACATCGGCTACGACAACTCCTCAAAAGGTATTTGCCTTCTTTAAACCAAGTCAAGCTGATGAACCTCATTATAAACTATAGCATATCTTACACCACGTAAACTATAGTAGTAACAAAAAGCTAAGTCATAAAATAACATTTTGGACTGTAGTGCCCTATGTGGATAGCTCAATTCTTACCAAATAGGCTATAACTGGTCAGTATGTATGGGTAGATCTGATTCAGTATCCAGTCAATTATATTGAAACTAGGTTAAAATATACGTAAAACTACATTTGGTACAATATTAAAAGAAATTTAGAACAAAATCAACAACGTGTATTAGGAGCATTCCCTTGTGTTTATCATTGTATTTTGTATAACTTAACTAATACAGCCAGAAACTAACTATCCAGACCATTACTGTTATAACTCAGAACCAATTGAAATACCGCATGCAGTTTTGAACGGTCATATAAGCTACTGCATATTCTCAGTATCCCTTTATAAATGGCTGATTTTTTCGTTGTGAACATTATAGCCACTTAGCTTCATAATGTTTTAAAACAGTACACGAACGCATTGTTAAAACGATTTCTCATGGATTGAATGTGGATTTATTTAGATCATAAGTGCCACTTTTACCACAAAGGTAAATAATGAAGAATGAAAACTAATAGCCAAATAAACCAAGTAACATTTCAAGTTTAGAAAGTTTAGCCTTAAACTAAGAGTACTGTACATCCATCTATTAATTAAGTATGCGAGCAAAGCAATTTAAGTACTTGTAGTGTGTACTACTCTAAGTTTAACACCAGAGAAGTATGTTACATCTCTGTGTTTAGACATAGTTAAAATAAATTTATTACATCTTAAAATATAGCCATTATTTAGTAACTTAATCAAACACTACTTGAGCCTTGAGTCTTGTGTGGATAATTTTGACCAATTTACATTAACATGTTTTGGAGTCCTAACCTATATAAGGTTAAAGTTATGAAATGAAATGAAATGAAATATTATTTATTTATACAGGCAAAAGTTAGGGCCACATGGTCTTTCTTACACTTAACCTGTCATAAATATAACACATATATTTTAACAATTACATTAATATACAACAAAAACAAAATCTAAATCATGGATACAGAAACATTAACAAAAGAAAATTTTAGTGTATAGATGGGCGATAGGGAGTCTAGTTAATCAAAATGCGTGAAAATAAATCCTGGTTTTGATTTTTTTCCCATTTAACACGATAAACATTTGCATAGCGTCAACCACGATTACTGTTTTATCAAATTCGTTATGCTATTATACATGTGTGCCTTATTTTAAAATAAAAACTAGCGTCTAGACGGTTTTCTTTGACATAATCTAACACGTGAAATCTATGTGACATCGAATATACTTAATATTTCACACTAACTTTTACAATTGAGGTACCTCCTGGAAGAAATGTTATGCTCGGTATACAGTGGTTATAGTACTCGACTTCACCCATACAAGCTGATTCGATCCAATTTGGATCCAATCTGGACTCGTATGCAATTTGTTCATGGTTTATTAATTAATTTTTGCTATCAAAAAGCCGACATTGGGATCAGGTGGTCTAGTAGTATAGCTAGAGGCTTCGGAGTCCAAGGTCCCGGGTTCAAATCCAGGCAATCACCAATTGATTTTATCCATGTGATGATGCCACGACCTCTAGGGTTAGTCTGAAGTAGTTCCGACGTTAGTAACTGGACCAGGGCTTGGCCCAAAAAAAAACCCAAAAATGTTCAACAGTGCAGTAAACACAAAACGCATATGCACATTAATTTTACATCGTGTAAACTCAACAGTCTTTATAAAAAGTGACTTTGTTGTTGTTTAGGGTTTGACTACAGGACTTGCAACGTGCTTGTTGCCTTGGAACAACAATCGCCTAACATTGCCAGTGGCGTCCATGTGGACAGAGAGGAGGATGATATAGGAGCAGGTGACCAGGTAATGTACAATCAGCTGGTAGACTTGTATATTCGTACGTAAAACTGTTTATGTTGGGTAAAATATGCATTTATTTATAAGCAACCTCTCAACAGGGTATAGGGGTGACCAGGTAATATGCATTTAGCTGGCTTATATATTCGGCTGTATATTCGTACAATGAAAACGTTTATGGAGTGTAAATGAATTTCTTTATAGGCAACCTGTCAATGTAAAACTTGCAATCTTACATACTTCAATATTATACTCATACTACGTAATACGATGACTAAATAAATTAACAGTACAAATAAAAGATTTTAATAACCATACCAAACACATGAATGAGTTAATCTGGATTGGTTATCACACTTATTTTACAGCCATTTTTTACAGCCTCGACGCTTTAACGACTCAAGGTTTGTTTATACAAATAATTGTACAACGTTATGCCGAAAAAAGAAATCAACTTCTTCCGATCTCTTCTATACTTGGTTTAGTCCATAGCATAGAACATAAAATACTGTTATGTTTCGAAACACTAACACAGGTATTGACAAGTCTTTGGAGTGTAGTTGAGATCTATTTCCTTTGAAGTACGTCTCACGACCTCAGTATCGAACTAGGACACAGTTTTGGTTGTTTTCAGAGTAAATTTTGCTGTTAGTTCTCTCTTATCTGTTCGCATTAAAACAATGCTTGGCTGGGATTTAGGTTCTGTACTGGAAGTGGCAGAAATGAGTATATTTTCTTATATAGTATAAAGACCTGCCTATTAGTTGCTTATCTGGTTGCAGCAGAGAATCAAAAAGTCAAACCCAAACATTTCTTCTAATGGAATTCAATTTCCTGACTTCAGTGACACATCAGACTACCCACCTTCCTCAATGCTCCTTTAATAATATAATTATTTAATACCCTTGGGTTTCAACTATCACGTAGTATTGCAAACCTCGGTAAGATAACAATACCTCATAAGACCTTGATAAGACCATATAAGACCTTGATAACATGTTTTATTTGACAATCCGCAGAAGATACTCCCTATCAAGGTTCTAATGTAGGGCTGCTCTAAACACTGATTATAAAATAAAATAAAAATACGTAATGTGTGAAACTACTCGTTTATTGTCTCATTAGTAAGCAACAGGAAAACAGAAATCTCTCTTAGCTTTAATTTTGTGTATAATTAAGTAATTCATTATTCGAGTGATTGAATTACTTTAATACCATATGTTGTTTATTACATTTAAAAGTGTCTGTAACTATTGTGTGTTTATTTTAAGGGCCTGATGTTCGGATATGCTACAGACGAGACCGAGGAGTGTATGCCTCTTACTGTGGTTCTGTCTCACAAACTCAACGAGAAGATCGCAGAACTGAGGAGGAACGGGGAGTTCCCTTGGGCCAGACCGGACACTAAAACCCAGGTAATTAGCACAATGTGGTGAGAATATATGTTACATGCATTGAAAAATCATATAGATTATTACAAGTGGGGTGAGTTTTATGTGGCCTAATTTGTTTTGAAATAATAAATTCAAAGATGCATCAAAATATTTAAAGATATTCTTGGCGTAATATACCCTTATGAACTACTTTGATGATAGATACCTATTGACAATGTGAAAAATACAGACTTAGTTAGTTTACAATTTACTACCCGAGTTTTCGAATGTCGTCCGAAAACTTGACAGTTTGAAATAGGTCACAAAGTATAGGACAAAAAGTAATATGAGAATTAGGGGAAATAGTATTTGCTGTTCTCGATTGGTTTGAAAAAAAAAACTAGTTTATGATATACCGTCATGAGATAGGTCATAGTAATGCCTATCAAGGAATAAGACAGCAATAGTGACTAAATTTATTTGTCAGGGCTCAAGTCATATGTACTATACTAATTCAAAGGGATGATTCATTCAACAAAAAAACCAATTGGATAACATTTTACTTAAAATCATTTACCAACTTTTTTACAAAAGGTACTTAAGATTCTGCTGAAAGAAAATTCTTAAATCCCTCCATCTGGAACTCTATATTCCATGATTGCTTTTCATATGAATCGTACATTATCGTTGCAATCCCGACGTAGGCTCTACATATTTTACTAGGCTCCAGACCGGTATCGTGTTCACAGTTCTTCAGACTACATTGCGGCATTATCACTTTGAAGACATCCATTTGTGTTTGGTGGCATTCGAACCTGGGACCTCGGGAACCGAATACCTGCTCTCTACCACTAGACCAGCTCACTCCCCCACATTACATTAAGATAATCTTAGCCACTATTACAATTATTAAATCTATTGCTGTAATGCCACATCATAATGTACAGATTACCTGTGAATACCGTTTCGACCAAGGAGCCTGCATCCCCTTGAGGGTTCATACCGTCGTAATCTCGGTACAACACTCCGAGGACATCACCTTGGACCAGCTACGACAACAAATCATAGAGAGGGTCGTCCAGGAAGTGATACCTGCAAGGTTCCTCGACCAAAACACCAAGATACACGTCAACCCGTGCGGGGAATTCATTGTGGGGGGACCTCAGGTATGATGACTCAAGACGTCAGAATGGTTTTATAAAGGATTTCTTCTTAACAAAACTCCTTATGTTTTGAAATTTTTTGTAAATAATATGTATATAATTTTCCTATTCTGTGCACTGTACTTACAGTATTTTTACTGGTGGATTTCATCATGAGAATAGAACAGACTCGTTAGTTTAATTGTTTTGGGAGACTTTTTATGAGGGGGGTAACGAATACTCCCGATAATTACATAATCTTTCCTTGACGTTCCACGTGTCTTCATTGAAGTAACTTTCTATTGAAACGCAAACATATTAAAACACTAGATCAGAGTTGCAGTTGTTTCTATATAACTAGGGTAAAGTAATTATATCGATATCGAGGATACAGTAACTAGTGATATCCTAATGTATTAAATAACTAATGTTATGTTTGGTTCCAAGTAATATGTATTCTAGTAGTGACGTGCTGTTGATATATCAGTATGTTTATCGTGTTGAGTAATACGTCTTATTCAAACTCCAGGAATAAATCATATTAATTTAGCAAAGCAAAATTTAGAAATATAAAAAAATATTTTCTTTGTAATTCTCCTAATTAAAGTTGCTTAAAAATGTTCAAAACATTGTGTATCCAAAATTATCCCTAAGTATTGCAGCTTATACGTTTTAAGATCCACCTAACCCAACAATATAAATCACATGCATATTGAAACATGATAAATACTGTATAGGGAGACGCTGGGCTGACAGGTCGGAAGATCATAGTGGACACCTACGGAGGCTGGGGAGCACACGGCGGAGGAGCGTTCTCAGGGAAAGACTTTACCAAAGTAGACCGCAGCGCCGCCTACGCAGCCAGATGGGTAGCTAAGTCTCTGGTAGCCGCCGGACACTGTAGGAGATGTCTGGTACAGGTATGTGAGCTTGTAGGTTGAACACACAGCAGTGTTTCAACACCTGCAGTGTTTCCTTACAGTGTTTTTGAGATGTAGTTTGGTTTTCTTTTGCTTTATTTTTTTGAGATAACGCTTAAATAAGTTTACGTATTCCTTCTATTTATAGGTTACCTACTTCCATTGGCTTAAAAGTAGAAAAGACATTTTAAAATAGTTGTTTAGCCTCCATATTACTCTATTATACTTAAAATGGCTTACAATTACTGCATATAGTAATCCTTTGTTGCTGATTTAGGCAACTAGTTTCGGTTCTTGTTTTGAACCATCTTCAGGCCTCAAGGTGTCAAGTGATCACTTCATTCGAATTTCAGGGCCTTGAGGCCTGAAGATGGTTCAAAACAAGAACCGAAACTAGTTGCCTAAATCAGCAACAAAGGATAAATACATATGCAGGTATTGTAAACCATTTTAAGTAGAAACGAAGAACAAACGCATTTTGTAAAAACCTAGTAGGTGTCCTCTAGCGTTATAAACTGTAAACATTCCCTTTCATTAAGGGAGGAAATGTCATGCATCAACGCACACAAGCGTTGCCCGACATGAAACACGCCGAATCAAGCTTTTGAATATGTAATGAGAGAAAAGGTCTACTTACTCTATGATAATGGTTACGTGTTATTAAGTTTACTATTAGTAGCAATTAGGAACAAATTTAAATGCCCCACTGTGTTTATTCCCAGTGATGGTATTCAGTAATTTCTTAATATTTTGAGCTGATACGTAGATTTGTTCATAACGCCTGTTCAAAAATAGATTTTATCACCATTGAACCGCTTTGTTAACTAAACAGCTTAAATTCATTACAGTAACATAAGGAGCTATCAGTTTTTAGACATGTAAAATAATTCCTAAATGTTTTTGCTAACTTAAAGTGTTACTCCAGTATAATTTTGTTTCTGTGCTGAATTTGTATACCTTTGGCAAATAAAATTCTGCTAAATGTGGTTTAAGTCAACCATAAGTTTACTGGTTTAGTTACTTAATCGTATATCAATAATTTCTCAATTCGAACGGTGTACAACCATTTGTTTATCAATGTGTTTAGGTGTCATACGCCATTGGTGTTGCGGAACCGATCTCTATCACCGTGTTCGACTATGGAACATCAAGCAAATCTCAGAAGGAACTCTTGGCCATCGTCAACAACAACTTTGATCTGAGGCCTGGCAAAATTGTGAGGTGAGCTTGAGTAGCTATATTAGAAAAGTATATAGGGTGATCAAGTATATAGGGGACATTGCATTATTTTTTTGTGGCATTTAAAAGTATGAATTTAGTTTTTTTCGAATGCAGCCTCCATAAATATGGCGGCCAACTTAGAAATATCTTATGGAACAACCTATATTTTAAGACTTATTTACTCTTAGCATTTTCACTCTAAACTTACTCGTTTAGGGACTATTATGCAACTATCATGCAAAATTTACAACAGAAGTAGATTGTAACTCCTAAACGAGTAGCTTTATAGAAAGAATGTCAAGAATAAAAACGTTTTTAAATTGCACATTCAATTGCATAGTTGTTTTTTGACACATGATAAAATATATGGTGTTCCATAAGAATTTTTAAAGTTGGAATTTCAGAAAACTAAATTATATTTTTTAACTGCCACAGTAAATGAATGTCCCCCATTTAATGTTTACTCTAATTATTCTTGATCACACTGTATTTAACCCATATGGACTGTCATATTACACAGTGTAATTTGTAAAGTGTAATGTGTGTGGAAGTGTAATTTGTAACATTCTACAGGTAGCGCCCAAATTTACTTATGCTCATACGAATAAGTAATGTAACAATGTGATTGTAGGAAACATTGTGCAATGGAATATGAAATAGAATACCATTTGGTCCCTAACCTATTTAACCTCTATTACAGGGATTTGAACCTACGTAATCCCGTATACCAGAAGACAAGTACATATGGTCATTTTGGGCGTGCAATCTTCCCATGGGAACAACCAAAGCAACTGAAAGAAGATTTGAAATAATCCTGTAATGTTGAATCCACTATCTGCCAAAGCTTGTTTACTCTAACTACCTGTTTCAATACGCTTTGTAATTCTACAGTTTTAAGTCTAATGTATCCTCTTATATTTTATTAACATTTGTATATACTTTTTAAGGACACGTGTTTTTATATTTACGATGGTGTATACAATTTAGTTGTTTCATGTCGTAAAACTTTGCTTAATTTTATTTTATTACTGTATGTGAATGCATTTTGCGATAAATTAAAAATTTGTCAAATAAATTATGAAAATTTGTATTTGGTACCTGATTTACGCATTCCTCGAAAATATTTAGTTATACTATTCAGCTGTAAGAAGGTAAAATAACTCTTATACGCATACTACTTCATAATCCTGATACAGATACATGTTTTAGGCTTTGTTCGGTACAGTTTTGTGATTATTTCACTAGAAACTAGTCATAGTAACCCAACATACTTTTGATTTAAGTTATTTCAAAGGGACGTGAAAAAGGAAAACTTTTATCGATTTTTAAACTTTAATGTTTTTGAATGGTACAATAATTATCAATCCAACTATTAATTATCAAATATGGATTGTGGAAACAAATTTATGTGTTGAATGGGGCTAAATCCATTGATTTTAGAAGAGTAGGACAGAAAGCCTTCCACTAAGCCACCCACGTTATCATATTTTTACTATTCCAGGAAATCATGTTCTGACATAGAATCATTTACTTATGATAAAATTATTTATTTTGAGCAAAAATTAAACACGAACTGACCTATGTCTATACTCAGAACTTAGGCGGTATTTACAAGTAAGCATTGATAGAAATATCATCTATGATAAAACTAGGCTGAGAAACGAATACAAACATATCCAAAATATTTACCTGGCAAGAATGTAATCGATCAATATCATTACGTGTCAAATAATTGCAAAACATATCAAACCCACTCAACTTTAACCAACGATGTAACGTTAAAGTTTCCGTCAAGAATGGTAATATTGCAACTAGCTTTTTACACGTCAGCCTTTTGTAATAGGATCGCTGGACTGGAAAATTGGCAAAATGAAACCAAGGTACTGTGAATAACTAGATAATTATGTAAGTAAGTTGAATTTTTCCTTTTGTATTGAGCCTAAATTTAATGTGTAGAGTAGCTAGTTTTAAAAAAGATATCGTAGAATTAAAGGTAATGGAACCAAGCAATACTCAATTATTAATTTAACAATATTTTACAATTTGACTTGCATACTGAAACATCAAATTAGTGGTGTAACATTCTTGTAACCACCAAAAGTAAAACTGCTACAGTTTTTCGTAACGTCTTTTTTTGTAAACTCAAAGGTTTCTACTGCACAACAGCTTACGCGGAATCATTTTTTACTTCTGTCCTAAAGCATAAAATATTTTAACTAATTGTTACATAATGAACTTTATAATACAATTTAAACCCCTACCATATTAAAATTAAATTAAATCTTTAGCATCTTCAAGGTATTTATTTTCATAATGTAAAACTAAATGAGAATCACGTACAAGAAAATGTATGCACTCAAATAAAGCTACGTTCCAATATTAACAATTTCAAAAACTGTCACTGACCTTAAAACTGTTTGGAAAAACAAAGTTAGATGACATACAGATAAGACACTAAATGATTCTCTAAATGATTTTCTAATGATTAAATGATTCTCTTTTATCATTGTTTACACACTCTCGTACTCAAGTAAATACTTTGTATATTTTCCATTGTACATTTTAGCCAAATATCAAAAGAAAATGGCTATCATTGGTACGTTTTGTTTTCCTAACTCTATCATATACTTTATAAATCATCGGGTTTTTTTGATGCTTTACAATAACGTTTAATGAAAAATTCAGGTTACGAGAAAATTAAAAGAATTTATTAATAAATATCTCAAAATTGTATAATTTTTTTCATGGTTATACAGTGCAATTAATAAATACAACCACATTAAATCAAAGAGCTATAAACAAACAACATAATTTTATCCATACGCATTTTAATATCAGTTCTAAACAGACCATTTGACTTTTGGACGAAAATCAAATCATACGCACTATCTCTCAGAGAATGGGAATAAAACTGCCTACTTCATATGCAAATCGAGATTCTTGCCATTCAAAAGATTTGTATCAAATTAAAGAGTCAGAATTTGCATTGGAGAGAGCCTTCCAAGGGATACGATGGTTAATTTACCCTTATTTAACTTCGTTTGAAGTTATTCAGCATAAACCTTCCATGCATTGTGATGATAAAAATAATATGTTTTACCAATCTATATAACCTTGGAATTATATTTACAATAAATGTTGATGGAGCAAAATGCAAAAAAAAATTTTACATTAATATGCAGGTTAAAACATTTCAAATCTTCAATATTAACAGTCACTATAAGAATACTATTTTTACGCTTATAAATAATCTTAAAATTTTACGAAACTACATAGTAAGAACTAAGCAAAGTGGAAGTATGTTTTATATCGTGAAATTATTTTTCTAAAAACCTTAACCATTAGAACAATATAGGCCTAAACCTGCAAACCAAGTGAATTTCCGTTTGTTTCATTATATTTTAAGTAAAATATCTCCTTAAAAATGTCGGATTTACTCTCTAGTTTAGTGAGTACTAAGGCTGCAAGAAAAGTAATATTATAAAATCTTTTTCAGTGAAATATTAATAATTATGTCTTATAAAGAGTGGTTCAATAATTACACTAATATAATTTTTCAACACATTCAATTTGATTTAAAAAGTAGTAATATCGTCGATACAATTTCACAATATTAATAACTTATTAAGTTAAACAAATAAATTAATACCTACCCAACCTTAAATGTATACGTAAAACTTAAGGAATACATGTGTATAATGGTTGCAGCAATATGATTCATTCAAGTTCAAAAGTATTTATACAAATGGCAAAACTTGTATCGTTAAAGTAAAGCACTGCGTAAATTTGTAGTCCCTTAGGCTGTGTCTTTGCGTTAAACTTTGACTTTAACTAGAATTCGTAACCTTGTATACTTGGGCCGACTGAACGTTATTTAACAGACCTTTTCAGTGTTGGTTAGTCTTTTATTGATTGTTAGGAAATCATTTTAGACATTATACTAGTCAGTGAAATGTAGTTATGCTTAATTAAAATCCCCCTATTGCAGGGGGCTAAAATAATTTAAGGAATATGCAAATTTTGATTTGTGTGAATTAATTTTTACTATTTTTTTTCAGATTTATTTATTCTCCATTCAAATACCTTTAGGTTTAAGGAGTACTTAATTTTGCTGCTACCGGGCGGGAGTAAAAGGGGTTTTGACCAACTTTTAATAGCATCGGATAAAATAAATATATTTGCCAGATTTAATCAACATATCCTATACTCTAATACGAGCAATGTTTGCTTGTATGCTTGCTTGCTTGCTTGCTTGGTTGCCCAAAGATTTCAAAAACGGCTCCGACGATTTTCTTCAAATTTTGTAAATAGTTCGTTTCTGGCCTAAAAACGAGTTTCATGCAGTTAGAACTGCCAAAAAAATCTAATTACGTAGAAAAATGAAACTGAAAATCACATTTTTTTACATTAATCTTATGGGTTGCTAGGTAACCATGTTGGCTGAATTAAATAACAAGGAAAAAGAAAACAAAAGACTTGAAGTTGTAGCATGTATTCATAATAAGCCAACTACCCACAGTATACTAGCAAATTACAAATACAGTACAAAAGGAAAAACATCACTTGTTAATATTGAGCAAAGATTATACTTAAGATTACTCGATACATTGTAGTCAAGGGTAGCAGTGCGAAGTCTAGGATCTGTTTATGACAAATACATTAAGGTATCTGCAATCCTAAAATGCTATGGGAAGGGAAGGAAAGAGGTCCGTGACGTAGGAAGTGGTGAAGGAAGTAGTCAAGGCGAGCTGTGCGGAGTGTGGGAACTGTTTATGACGATTAGATTAAGGTATCTGCAATCTTTAAATGCAATGGGAAGGGAGGGAAACATGTTTGCGACGTAGGAAGTGGTGAAGGAAGTAGTCAAGGCGAGCTGTCCGGAGTGTGGGAACTGTTTATGACGATTAGATTAACGTATCTGCAATCTTTAAATGCAATGGGAAGGGAGGGAAACATGTTTGCGACGTAGGAAGTGGTGAAGGAAGTAGTAAAGGCGATTAGTATGGAGCGTGGGAACTGTTTATGACGATTAGATTAACGTATCTGCAATTCTGAAATGCTATGGGAAGGGAGAAAAACAGGTCCGCGACGTTGGAAGTGGTGAAGGAAGTAGTCAAGGCGAGCTGTCCGGAGTGTGGGAACTGTTAATAACGATTAGATTAAGGTATCTACAATCCTAAAGTGCTATGGGAATGGAGGGAAACAGGTCCATGACGTAGGAAATGGTGTAGGACGTTGTAAAGGCGAGCCGTGTGGAGTTTGGGAACAGATTTATGTATCTCCGATACTAAGACTGCTTTCAGATTGAACTAATGATTTTCTCCGAGCAAAGCTCGGTGCCCAGGTACTATCCATAAACAAGTAAACTACAAAAGTTTTCTTTCCTTCAAAAGAATAATATGGGAATCCTAAATGTGTTTTATTGGTCAATATAGTATGCACTGATGTTTTTTTGTATAACCAAATCCATATACGTCAGAAAGCAGAGTGAATTTTACTGAAGCACACGACATTTAACTATTTAGTTACTAAAATAATTTTAGTTTTATATCACTTTACCATAGACAACCATTGACGAGGTTGATTGTTCAAAACTACATTTGCATCCACTCCACAGTTACTGACAGTTTTACTCTTTCTGATAAAAGTGTTATTGATTGCTAGTTTGATTGAGGAGTTCAAATCACTCGAGAAACCTTTGTGGGAATTCCGTGCCAAACATTCTGGTTTGGAAACCAAATTTTACTCCATAGACCTATTTATTTACTCGTAGATTACAAATAGGATTTTGAAATAATTGTTTTCGTTGTACTAACAATTTTAATTGTTGTTTATATTTATAGTAAACAGTCATAAATAAGCCACAATGATCTACTTGAAACATCGTCAAGTTAAAGTAATAAATCAAATAAATGTTATTCGTGTACAAAGATGTCTGCATAGTAAATTCTACGATTCTTGAAAAATAAAAAAAAATTAAATTGGATAGATCTGTCAAAGGAACAGTGCTTTTTAACACTCCTTCCATCTAAAGCCACAGATCGTTGGGGCAATCTAGAATGTTTGAGATCATCAGTACAACGTTGGGAT